GGCAAGTAAGAGGAATGCATTACTAATACATAACAAAACATAGATGACTCATATATATAAAATGTCCAAATTTAAATAATTACACAGTCAGAAGGTTAGATTAGCTGCTGTCTGTGCTGGAGCAAGGGTAGGGCTGGAAAGGAGGGAAATGGGGCATGACTTCCTTTGGGAGTAACAAAATATTCTAAAATTAATTACAGTAATGGTTATACAACCCGTGAACATGCATACAAAAGCCACCAAATTATATTTTAAATGGGTAAACTGTGTGGTATGAATTATATCCCAAGAATGTTGTTTCCATGCAAAGGACTTAGGATATAATTCCTATCATAAATACATGAACTGTAATGTGTTAATATCCTAAAATGGAAAAATATGGTTCCAATGTTTTATAGAGCAGAAAGCCAAGAAACATAGAAATTAATCTAGTCATGCTAATGGCTAAATACTAATGCTGGTACACTACAAGTCACTAACTTCTTACTAAATTTTGGGCTACGTATAGATTTCTTGGTGATTTTTTACCAGAAAATAAATTTAAGAATTTGGCTTGACTTTAAGCCTGTGATTGATATTTCCTGACTTGATTAGAAATAAAAATAAATAACATGTCAAAATGTAGGATTTTGTTCTTAAGTAGCTACTAATTTGTGGTTTGTTAATACAAAAGTTAATGAAGTATTTGAGATAATGCATGTCAAGCTAATGCTCAACTTAAACATTCTACAACTTATATTTCAAAACACCAATTTGTACATCTGTAAATACATACAATTTGGTCAACTTTAAAAATAAATAGTTTAGGCTAGATGTGGTGGCACACACCTTTAATCCCAGCACCTAGGAGGCAGAGGCAGGCGGATCTCTGTCAAATTGAGGCCAGCCTGTCTACATCATGAGTTCCAGGGACAGCTGGGGCTACAGGGAGACCCTGTCTCCAAAACAGACCAAAGAAAAGCCCAAAACAAACAAAAAGGTGAGCTGAGAACAAGCCAAGCCTGATCACAGTCCCAACCGAATACAGTTTTTGGTGCAAAGTGCTAAGCGTTTATTGATTTATATAGTGTTTAAAGGAGGTACTAAAATATCAAACTGATTTAGGTGACCACAGTGACAGTCAAGTCATTTTAATAAACCTAGTCTATGAAAGCAATCAGTACTACTTACTAATATTGACCATTTAAATAAAACATCACAAAAATGGGTGGGGGGGTCTGAATATGATCAAAATACACTGGATAAAATTCTTGAATCAATAAATTTTTTAAATGAAAGAATAGTTTCATTGTTCTACAATTGATCATTATTTAAAATAACATATAGAATATTGTATGTAGAAATGTTGCCATATTTCCACACATTTACACATAAGAACACTAATGTTGGTGTTCAGAACTAAGAAGTCAGGTGACCACACTATATAGAGTAACTAAAGTTTAGGAAATGACATGAAATGACATAATGTCAAGTCTTTATTAATTTAAGTAGTAAAAGAGGGAATTCACTATATTCTTATAACACTATTAACAGTATCTATAAAATAGTATAGATATATTTACATATAAAACATACATGTATATATTAAAACAAAATATGTATATATATAAATAATTTTGATAGCTTCTGGTGTTTTCTCATTATTACTGATGCTGGATAAATAACTGCTATAAATATGCAGGTATGTTCAACCTATAGCCCATGCACTGTGTGCAGTGCAGGATAGTTATGTGACCCAAAATAGAATTGTAAACTTAAAATATCATAAGATGCTTTGTGATTTTTTTTTTCTTTGTAACTAGACTGCTCAGTCTCAAGCACGAACTTTAGATGACAGTGTTGCATTGCAACATGAAAAGGTTGGACAAACCTGTTTTCTTTCTGTCTAGTCAGTGACCGGATAACTTTACAGAGTAGTTTAAGCTTGAATAAATAAATAAAGCAATGTCACTTAACAACACTTTACACTCTTAAAAGTAACTTTTGTTACCTAAGTGACTATAATTCCAAATGATTTGGAGGATAAAATATCTAAATCCTTAGAACAAATTTGGTCTAGTAGAGATAAAAGTATCACTGTTTTCTTCTGTAATCCTTGATACATACATTATACATTCCCCATAGTGAGCTGACATTTTAGGCAAACATATAGCCAATAAATTGTGGATTACAACCCTGAGTGTGTTAGTGAGTCATAGGAAACAAATTTCAAACAATATAAAATCACTGTGGAATTCTCAGATATGTATTTTACTAAAAGTAGCACTATGATTCAAACATCTTCAATTTGACATACACACACTATATATATATTTCAAATATATGAATTAAGCACTGATAACTCCCTGTCCATTCCTGAAAAATGGACAGGGATATCCAGCTATATAATATAAAAATTAAACAATAAAGATAATCATTTCATTTTTAATTAGGTATTCGGTGCTCCAAGTAAATAGGCTAGCATCATTTTGACACTTTAATAGCAATTCAAAACAAATACTGCCCCAAAGAAGTGTGTGTGTGTGTGTGTGTGTGTGTGTGTGTGTGTGTGTGTATTCCTATGTATGCACGTGTGGGAGATTGTATGTGTATGCAGCCAGGAGGCCAGCATCAAGTGTTTTCCTCAATCACTTCTCCACCTTATTTTTTTTTAATTTTATTTAATTTAATTTATTTTATTTTATTTTGAGACAGGATCTGTCACTGAACCTGAAGCTCACCAATTGTCTAGATTGACTGGTCAGGAAGCCCTAGGGTATTCCGGTCTCCGCTCCTCCATCAGATGTGCAAAGCTGTGTCTGTGGGTGTTGGGGATCAGAATTCAGGTTCAAATGCTTGCCCTTTACCAACTAAGCTATCTTCCAGCCTTCCAAAAGGATTTTTGTAACCTCTATTATATCAGCCAATGTAAATTGAGATGCATTCTGAAATATATCTGCATACATATATACATATTTGAGATAAGAGGAAACACAGAAGTGATGTAACTACCTGTGATAATTTTGTTAGCTATATATAGTATTTGTTTTCTTGCAGTAATTTCATTAACACTAATGGTAGCCATATATTTTAGGCAAATGTTTCTATGTTAGTACAATTCCTAGTATATTTTAAATTCTTGAAGTATATTTGGAAGCATATCTGACCACAAGACTCTAAGGAACTGTAGAATTTATCAAACGGCTATGTCAACACATGAGTATAGAACCATATGATTTTGTTTTAGTCAGCAAGCATATCATAAACAAAGTTTTCTGGTTTATAATATAAGGGAGGTAGAGTTAATTAAAGTAAGAATACTTTTAGAAAGTACTCAGAAACTTCATAATTCAATTAACACTATTTTTTTCTAAAAGTAAAATTAGATTACTGTATTGTGTTACAAGATTCTGATTCCTTTCAGGCTTTAATGCCTATGAGTCTACCACACAGGTCATGCATGTTATGCATATGTAAAATATTGACTTGCACATGAAAAGAAATAATCAAAATAACAAAGCTATTCCACTCAGCCAAGACAAGATAATGTTTCCATTTTGCTTAGTGTTTGTTATGGTCATTTTATTTGCCCTTTATTTTTAAATATTATTAAGAGGTTAAAGTCATTATTATTATTACCTTAAAAGTATTGAAGCATAATGTTTCTACCCAATGAAAATTAGAATATAAATAAGCTAAAACAAAGCCTGGCATAGTGGTATACACCTGTAGTCCCCACTACTTGGGAGACTAAGACAGAAGGAAGGCTAGAGCCCAGATATTTGATGTTAGCCTGAACATCAACATATCAAGATATCATCTCAAAAATAAATAAAAATGAGCTAAGACAGAACCAATAGTATAAAGAGACCAGATCTCCAGGGTTTAATTTATCAGTTGAATGACCTTATGAACCTTATTCAGTAATTTTGAGCCAGTTTCCTTTCTTTGTTTCCCTCCCTCCCTCCCTCTCCCTCCCTCCCTTCCTTCCTTCCTTTCTTCCTTCATTTACTTATCTAATTATTTATTTTTCCCCCACAGGGTCTCACTATATAGCTATAACTGACCTGGAATTTCCTATGTAGACCAATTTGCCCTCAAGCTCACAGAGATTCACCTGCCTTATACCTCCTGAGTTCTGGGATTCAAGGCATACGCCACCATGCTAAGCCAACTCCCCATTTCTAATGTGAAATCACATTATACTACTTCACAGAACTGTTAAAGAATAATTACAAAGTTTTATAAAACTGGAAAGTAATATATGAGTTCACTGGATTATTGTGGAGTAATGATATTGCTTGAAGGAAAACCTGTTTAATGCATAGTATAACAGATCTGCTATTTAAAATAATTTTTCAAATTTATGTATATGTGTGTGGCTGTGAATGTATGACATGTGTGTGCAGGTGTGTGGAGGGGGCATTAGATCCTCTGGAGAATTTACAGGCAGCTGTGTGCCACCCAAAGTGGGTGCTTGGAACTGAACTCAGGTCTTCTGCAAGCCAACTGTCTTGCCCTAGATCTGCTTCTTTACATTTACATACTTTATTTAACTATTTTAATTAAAGAGACAACAAATCTTCTCTTCCCTTTTAATCTATTAACATAGATCAACACAACTAGGATGTATATATGACAAGTTATTGTATTTTATAGCCAAGAATGACATATTTTCTTGTTCTTTTAAATCTTGCTTTTAATAAGTATTTTGTTCAATGAACAACTCATAGTTGTGCTTCCAGCTAAAGATTATGACTAGAACTTATAAAGAGAAAAAGTTATTAAATTTCTAAATCAAATGTTAATCTTTTCTCTTTTTCTTATTTAGTTCATTTGATACAAACACATTAATAGCAGACTATTAAATAAAAGTAAAAAATTTTCAGTAATAAAAATTAAATTACCACCTTTCTCTTTACACACTCATTTCTTGAATGAGGTTTTTGATAGAACCAAATATAGTTACAATATAAAGTAAATGCAATAATCAAAGGAAAAATACTTGCAACAAACCATACCTAGTAATAAGAACTGCATTATCGTGGTGGGCAATCCCATTTTCTGGAATGGTGTTTCCATCACTTTGGTGGGAGAGAATGGATTTCTGCCACTTACAGAAGCTATCGAGGGACTTGTCTGCATGGTGGTTTATCTCCAAGTTTGGCTGCAATACAACATGCATACCAGAAATGTTCCAAACAAATTACTAAGGTCAGTTGTCAAAACTTTTGAAAACTAAAGTGGGACTATAATTAGAAGCAGTGGTTTCTAGGAATAATCTCTTGCCAATTTTTATCTCCACAATATCTGACCTAGAGTTCATTTGATTTGTTATTGAACAGACTTTCCCTCTAGTTCTTCAACAATAATGTGAACATATCTGAAGTCATCAGCATACAAAAATCAACCAAAACCATTATCAGATAGGACATAAAAATGTTCATCCTTAATACTGAAACATATAGCAAGTATGCATATATGGAGAAAGAGTTTTAACAAGACATGGGATGTATACTACTGTAAAGTAATTCAAATGTGCATAAAAAATTTAAATTTAGAGCTAAAACTCGCAGTTAACTAGGACTTCCTCAGAGGAGTAACAAAGAAATATATTATTTTATAATAACAATTCCAAAACCTAAAAGCTTTAGATTTATAAACTAACTCATTCTTACCTGATCTTCTGTGAGAACAATTAAGCGAGCCACTATAATATTCACAACGTTTCCTAGGCTGGAATCACGGTAAAGTTTGGCAACCTGACCTCCAGAAAATAAGAAAAGACACAAAGTCAGACAAAAATAATACAGTGCTACTTTGATTTTCTAAATTATAAGACAATTTTGTAACTTTATTTTGTACATTGAAAAATATTCTTTCACCCTATATTACTTAGGGCTCTACCTTCAAGATGCCTTAGTTACGGTTTTTATTTTATTAAATTTTTTTGAAAATTCCTTATATGAGTATTGTATTTGCATTATTTCTACCCCTCCCAGTCCCCTTCCAACTTCTCCCATGTCCCCTTCTTCCTCATAATTTCTCATCCTCTTCTTGGATTATTATTGTTACATATACATATATATGTTTACACACACATATATATATTTATACATATAGAAATGCACTGAGTTCATTTGGTGGTGCTCATGAGTACATGTGATTAGGGCTGCCCTCATGGAATTAAATGATCTCTCAGGGAGCTAGTCCCTAAAGAAAACTGACCCTTGCTCAGTATCCATTGGTTGCCTTTAGCTCTTCATCTTGAAATGGGGCACCATGAAATTTTCTCCATCCAAATTGGCATATCAACTGGTTTTGTCATAATGAAGACCATATTGGACTACGATACAATGAAGATTTCATGCGTGCAACTTCTCTGTTATGTTTACAATGCATTAACTAGCAGCTGGTGTCTTGACCCTCTGACTCTTACAATCTTTCTGCCGCCTCTTCCATGATGTTCCCTGAGACTTAGGTGTGGAGTTGCATTATAGATGTATCACTTACTGAAAGGTTTTTAAATAAGTCTACACAAGAAATATTTTCTGCTAAAGATGAATTACATCACAATTAATTATAATATGACCTGCTGTTTCAAGCTCAGGTTCCTTAGATATAATTTAATAACTTTTTTAAACATCATATTAACTAAAACTGAGTAATAAAAACATTTTAAAATTCACTTTCTAGGCAACTTAAATGTTAATTGATCAATTTTTAGCCTGGAGGAGAGAAAATCAATGTGGTCTGATGGTAAAGCACATATTTACTGCATACAAGGCCCCAAACTTAATTACATAAACACACAAAAAATTCATTTTCTATCATTCCTCACAGATGAATTTATATCATTATTTTATTTCACAGTGAAAAAAATCCAAGACCTGCTGGGAGTGGTGGCACATGCCTTTAATCCCAGCACAAGGGAGACAGAGGCAGGCAGATTTCTGTGAAATTGAAGCCAGCCTGATCTATATATCGAGTTCCAGGCCAGCTGTGGCTACAGGGAGACCCTGTATCAAAAAAAAAAGAAAAAAAAATCCTTGGCCTTAATATATAAAAACACAAAAAAAATAAGTAAAATAGTATATAGCGGGATCAAACTTACAATATTCATCACACTCAAAATATAGTGCTCAATGTCTTTGCGGCCGTGGTAGCCCACCATCATTTTGTCTGCTACTACTAGTGTCTCCACAAATCGCTCGATGCTCACTGATCTTTTCTGTCTATGATGGACATGTGTGTCATTAATTGGTAGTAAAGAAGGAAAAGCAGAGGATGTTTCATTCAGCCACCAAGGTTTGCCACTTCTTGTGAGGTCTACAATAAAAATAATTAAGCAATTCATTTAGATTCTCTAATCAAACAGTTTTATCTACAGATTTTTCATGTAGATATGCTTCTCATAAATCCTCTAATGTATTAAAATTTTTCAAAATAAAGAAGGTAAAGAAATATAGTAATGTGAAAAACTTTTATTTGAAAAAATTGAATATAACTTTCAACTGCTTATTTAAATAAAACAAATATAGCTATGAAATTAATTAGTTAATAGAGTTTTAAATAATCATTTTATATTATTCCAGTAACCAATTTTAATAATTTATATTTGGACTATATACAATAAA